CGATCACTTTGCTAGCAAAATTACACTTCTCCCCAATAGCTGATTTCGCCCTCTCAATACCTTCATAAAGGATACCCATGGTAGCTTTCTTGTCAGCATCCATCATTCTTAACACCGTGACCAAAGGGGCAGTGACCTCTACAACACTAGAACATCGAGACTAGAACCGCCTATTTGAAACTATGTTATCCACTTTTATACCAGTACTAGACTTCGAGAGGCTGTCATTTAACGGATCATCATCTTAATTATCTGGGTAGGTTTTTGAAGTATCAGTCCATGCTCCTGTCTTATAGACAGAGTGGATGAATACTGAGAGGATGAATACAGATAATTTTCATGGCTTTTACTAAACAATTTTTCCTATCTTAATGTATTTCTCTCTTTTATGAGACTCCCTTCTCTACCTCTGTAGTAGTACGCTACTGTAGATGGCTGTGTAAACTTAATCTCTACCCACCCTTCCCTCTTATTCTCTCTTTTTTCTCGGTGAGCATCTCGGCCCTAAGCTTTGAGGTAACAGAAGAAGCTTTCACTTCACAAGCAAACGGGGACAGGCCAACTTTCTTATTTTCCCAACCTTCCCCAGCAGCTTCACTTAATGGTCGTCTGTCTCAACTTCGAGAGGTCTGGGGAACAAATATGAAGATCGAAAGGCAATACTCACTGCATAGGAACAGTTGGTACATACCTCATGGTTCGCACAATGTAAACTTCGTTGAAAACTCCATCGTCCACCTGGTGTTTCTTGCCTTACCCTCACACCTACCGGAGCTTTCCTTTCTTGCTCTGAGCCAGGAAATTTGGTCTTTTGCAGTAACCCCAGTCTTTTGTAGTACCCCCAAGTCTAATTTGTAATGTTTTCATTTGTTCTTGTATGAGCACCCAACTTGTGGGCTGCCGTTTTTGTAGATATAGCTTTTGTAATTCTCCACTTTAGTTATATAGATCAACATATTCCTCAAAAAAGACATAGAAGGGCCTCTTGCAAGAATACATCTCATATTGAGACATTTTGGAATGTTTTTTATATCACTTTTTTATGATCAAAGAGTTCAATGTGCTGCTGATTTTATATCAGTGTCACACACAGTCAAATAACTGGTCATGGAGTTGCAGGTAGATTACTGATTCAGTTTCAAGGAGTCTCTAAAGAGGTCGGTTCTTTTTGAGAAGTTCTTATTTGGACTTCATGTATTTTTTAGCATTTAGATGTGTTTGGTGATTGAAGAGCATATATAAAGAGCAACAACTGGTTTACTCAGGAGTGAATTACGGTTTTGTGAGGCTCGAGAGACTTGGAGTTGTTTGAAGTGATCAACTCTGGTTTCTATCATTCAATAGAGAAATTGGAAACTGTATTCTTTGAGAATTGTTTTGTATGACGTTCCAGGATGCCAGATTCATAAATGAATCTGCTTGAAGCCGTCACTTCTGATTTCAAAGTCAATTATACAACCTACGGATTCATTAGCATTTGTTTCCAATAAAAATTTGACTTTTATTTACTATCTGGAACGGTTTCACACGATAAAACATTGAAAGTCTGAGAGTTATTGGACTCATAGAATAGCCTCAATTTTCCAAAAGTTTCAGGTGATAAGGTTGGAAGTTTCAGGTAATTAGGGCTGGGTTTGGGTCTGATTCTTGAGCTAGAGAACAAGAAGAATCATCATAGAGATGGGCCTCACCCGATCAATTATCTTTGCAATCCCTGATGTGGCCCTGGAATGTGTCATGATCTATCTCGACGATCCTCGAGATAGAAGCGCTGTGTCTCTGGTTTGTAAAAGATGGCACTATATCGATTATTTGACTCGAAAGCTACTCCATTAGTCCTTCTCATCTAAAGAACAGGTTCCCTCGGCTTGAGTCCCTGAAACTTAAAGCAAAGCCTTGAGCTTCGATGTTCAATCTGATACCGGAGGAGTGGGGAGGTTCTGCAGGGCCATGGATCAGTGAAATCTCTGAGACTGTTAACCGCTTAAAGTCTCTCCATTTTCGTCGCATGGTTGTGACTGATAAGGATCTTGCTATTCTTGTTCGAGGGCGTGGCCATATGCTTAATGTTTTCTCAAGCTAGACAAGTGCTCGGGGTTTTCTACCAATGACCTTTTACATGTTACCTGGAATCGCAGGTGCTTATTCTCTCAACTGTTGCACACTGGTTCTAGAACTTTTCTTACTGGATGGACATTTGCTTATCTTTAATAGTCAATTATGTGTTGCTCCCATACTTAGTATGAAGAATGGGATCTCTATGATGTTATCAGCTTTTGAATCATGGAGTTTTTATTTGGCAAATTAGAGAAATGAGTATGGGATCCTCTTTTTTTGTTGTTGTTGGGCTTGTGCATTTTCTATGCCTAAAAGTGGGAAGAGTTGGAGGGGGAGTCTTCTTTGGAAAAAATTGAAGAAATGCTTTTTGCCTTGCCTGAAATTTTGTTTGATCGGTTAGAATGGGATATCATTTTGGCAGTCTCATATAATTGAAGATTACTTGGCATCCTTTTTTTTCTTACTGACTCTGTTGCTTAGAAACACCTGAGTCTGGTTTTTTGTCTAATACCATGCAAAAAAACGCCTTCTGCCCATCTATAACCCAGAAGAATAATATTCACAAAATTCCCTAATTCTGAAATTCTAATATTTCTCAGAATTCTAGTGTTCAACTCTTCGCTGCTTTTTTTTTCCCCTGTTTTGAAACATTACTAGTTAGTTTTCAAATATGTTCTTCACTGTTCTGGAAGAAGGTTGCTTATCATTAGGCAGACTTTAGACTTCTTTTATCCACTTTTCATGGTTTTAGAATAAATTCTTTCAATCGGTGCATCTATGCATCCGCACACCACTACTTCCGCAGTTATACTTCCATTAATACATTCAACTATGAGTATAAATGTGCAGTTGTGACTAAAGAATATGTGACATAGTATGCATTGATGTGGGGAGAAGTAATTTGGAAACATAGTGATATTTTGATATGCATTTGAATATGGACAGATGTATATCTCTATAATAATCTACATGTATAAGTATAGAAAGTAGTGATACATTACATGTACATACCTAGATACAAATATCTACATTTGCATATGCCTGTTAATTTTAGCTATATGTCATGCGCATAACTTGTTTGAGGTAGAGCTTGATCATGCAGAGTTTGTTAAGGTCTCAGTGACTGATGTAATTATTTATGCCACTGTGTCACAAATCATTCAAATGGTGCGTTGGATTCCTTGTTTATCAATCCTGTTTGAATGGCGAATGGTGTCACAAGTGGAGCCGCAGTTGTTAAACAAGGAACCCAAAGCACATATCTTGTTAGGCTTCCAATGACCATGAGATTTGTGTCACAAGTGGAGCTGCTCTTCATCCCCACTTGAATGTGTGTCTTCAAACCACCTTGGTTATTAATTGAGGTCTTCACTAATCTATTATAATTGATCTATATAAATTTTTGCCCAGTGCTAGTTCATTTACTTTATGTTATCTTTACAAATGCTTTTCTAAGCCATGGAAATTCCATGAGGTTTCTCTAACCTCCATCTTGATTGGTCTTCTGACCAGATCCTCTGATGGTCTACCATCTCTGCATGAAGAAAGTCTGTTACCCCTTGGGCCATGATTACATCATATTCCTCTCAATTTTTATAATGTTATGCTGTGCTGTTTGATCACTTTGACATCACTTCATTTTCAGTTCTTACACTAATTTTTGGGTAGTTATCATCCGTGAAGATTTATAAAAGTTTTGGGCTGTTTGCTCTGAATTTGTTGTATTGTCTCATCATGCCATTTACTTTGACTGAAGATGGGAAATTTAATGACTGTGGTGGACTTGAATTCTATCCTGTATTTTTTCAGATATAGGCCCGTTTGGATAGGAGGAAATTAGGAATCTTAGATATTTGAAATCCAAAGAAATCTATGGATTTTCAATATAAGGATTTTTCTCATGGATTCCTCAAATCTCTTGTTTGGATAAACTATACAAAATTCATGGATTCCTTGCAATCATTTCCATGTCCATTGTTTAGTAACAAAACTTGATACAGTATCTCTCTCAAAAAGTTTAATATACTTTCTCTCTCTAAAACTCAAAATTTGGGATAGTGTGTCTATAAAAATTTTGAGATAGTTTCTCTCTTTAAAATTTGATATGGTTTCTCTCTCTAAAATTTAATATACTTTCTATCCAAAACTTAAAATTTAAAATTGTTTCTCTAAAAATTTTGAAATAGTTTCTCTCTCTAAAATTTTTAGGTGCTTTCTCTCTCTAAAATTTAATATAGTTTCTCTTTCTAAACTTTTAAGATGCTCGCTCTGTAAAACTTAAAACTCGAGATCGTTCCCCTCTTCAATAATTTTGGTATAGTTTCTCTATCTATACATTTTTAAGTAGTTTCTCTCTAAAATATGACAGTTTTTTTTTCAAATTTTAAGATACTTTCTTTCTCTAAAAGTTAAAATTTGAGATAATTTCATTCAAAAAAATTATGCGATAGTTTCTCTTTCTAAGGTTTTTTATGAACTTTCTCTCTCTAAAATTTGATATAGTTACTCTCTTAAATTTTAAGATGCTTTCTCTCTCTAAAACTTCAAGTTTGAGATAGTTTATCTCTTTAAAATTTGATACAGTGCCTCTCTAAAATTTGATATACTTTCTCTCTCTAAAGTTTAAATTTTGAGATATTCTCTCTCCAAAACTTAAATTTTGAGAGTTTCTCTCTCTAAAAATTTCATGTACTTTCTCCATCTAAAATTTGATATAGTTTATCTTTCTAAAATTTTAAGATACTTTCTCTCTCTAAAACATAAATTTTGCGATAGTTTCTCTCTTCAAAATTTTTGAGATAGTTTCTTTCTCTAAAAATTTTTAGGTAGTTTCTCTCTCTAAAATTTGACATAATTTCTATCTCTAAAATTTTAATATCTTTTCTCTCTAACACTCAAAATTTGATATAGTTTATCTCTAAAACTCAAAAGTCGATATAGTTTCTCGCTAAAAAACTTGAGATATTTCTCTATCTAATTTTTTTCGGCAGTTTCTCTTTTTAAAATTTATAATAGTTTCTCGCGCAAAGTTTAAAAATACTTTTTCTCCCTACAACTTTAAAAATACTTTTTCTCTCTAAAATTTAAGATTTTATATGGTTTCTCTCTCTAAAACTTTTGAGATAGTTTCTATGTCTAAAATTTTTTGGTACTCTCTCCAAAATTTGATATAGTTTCTCTCCCTAAAAATTAAAATTTGAGATTGTTTCTATCTAAATTTTTTGAAATAGTCTCTCTCTAAAAATTTGAGATAGTTTTTTTCTATAAAATATGATAGTTTTTCTAAAACTTAAAATTTGAGATAGTTTCTCTCTGAGATAGATTATCTCTCTAAAAATTTTTAGTATTTTCTCTCTCTAAATTTTTTAACATACTTTTCTCTAAAACTTAAAATTTGAGATAGTTTCTCTCTCTAAAAATTTTGAGATAGTTTCTCTCTTTTAAAAAAAAATGAGGTACTTTCTCTCTCTAAAATTTTCATACCTACAAAATGTTCCCTATGTTTGGGGTTGAGGGAGCCAATGAGTGAAATCTATGGGCTTTGGAAATTAAAAAAAGGTGTTGGTATGGAAATAAAATCGTGAAAAAGTAAGTCTTATTTATATGATTTTCATTTTCTTAATTTTAAGTATCCTAGTCATTAACCAATCCAAACGGCGGATTTTTGCAATATCCAAGATCTTAGAAATCCATGTACCCGAACAGGCCCTACATACTTTGTTTTTAGAAGAAAGCTCTTTTGAGGAGGAGTACGGTGAATCGCTTCATGAGCTTGCTTTAAATAATATTGTTCTAGAAGTTTTAAATTTTTATGCAACAGAGGTGAAAAAAATAAACATTGAAGACCTTGAGCTGTTAGCTAGGAATTGTAGCAATTTAATTTCTTTGAAGATAAGCGACTGTGAAATCTTGGACCTAGTTGGTGTGTTTCGAAGAGCAAACGCGTTAGAAGAATTTGGGGGAGGTTATGTCAGTGAGCCATTGCCAGGAGAGGTGAATAAATATGAAAACTTGTACTTTCTGCCAAGGTTAGCCCGCCATGGTCTTAGCTACATGAGTGAAAACGAGATGCCTATGATTTTCCCTTTTGCTGCTTCACTCAAGAAGCTAGACTTGCAGTACACATTACTAAACACCGAGGATCATGTCCAGCTGATTCGGCGCTGCCCCAATCTTGAAGTTCTTGAGGTAGTGTTCCAGTAAAGATTTTCTCATTATAATTTTTTGAGCGAAAAGTTTTCTGTAATCCAGTGGGATGCGGAAAACTTTGTCCTTCGGGTCATTATATGAAATGATGGACGAATTTAAGATAGTGGGACCTACCATTGGATGTCATGTCTCGTTCTAGTGGATCCCAATATTTCGCCATTATCGTCTGTCATTTCATTGAATGCTAATGATCTATGGATTTCCATGGGCCATTCAACCCTCAATTCCCAAATTTTAGTTTTCTTGAAGAGAGGAACTTTACTTATTTGCTCCTTCATTTTGCCGGTGAGGAATGTGATAAGTGACAGACGACTAGAGGTTGTTGCTCAACATTGTAAAACATTATGCAGGCTTTGAATTGAGCCTGGGGATGATGAGCAGGGCTGGGAGGATGAACAGGGAATGGTTTCTCGGAGAGGAGTATCTGCCCTAGCTGAAGGTTGCGCCGAACTAGAATATCTGGCTGTGTATGTATCTGATATTGCTAATGCAGCTTTGAATCGGTTGCCACTTTTTGGACAAAGCTCTGTGACTTTCGCGTGCTTTTACTTGAAAGAGAAGAAAGAATAACTGATTTACCTCTCGACAATGGGGTTCGAGCTCTATTAAGAGGCTGCCAGAAACTAAGAAGTTTTGCTTTCTATGCTGGGATTTTGGAATTCTCAAGAGGCTGCCCCGTTCTTCAGAAATTGGAGCTACGACATTGTTGTTTCAGTGAAAGTGCATTGGCTGAGGCAATTATAAATTTAGCATCTCTTAGATATCTATGGGTGCAGGGCTATAGAACATCGCCAACTGGTAGGGCTCTTTTAAGGATGACTCTTCCATTTTGGAACATAGAGATCATTCCTCCGACGATTGAGAATGGTATGCCTGATGAAGTTGGGGATTTTGAGCTGCCAGCTCAGATTCTAGCGTATTATTCACTGGCTGGAAGAAGAGATGATCATCATGGAACAGTCATTCCTTTATCCCCATTATCCTCATGATCTCATAGGTGCATGCCCGCTTTTTCTCATTGTTTAACTGCGTTGAACATTCTTCCATGGCGAAGTATAATATGCTCTTAATGGACTTAGGAAAGTGTACTCCATTGGGGTCAGCACTGCCTATAAAATGTGCAGAGATGGAGATAGACTGGAACTCTGGGACAATATTGTTTAAGAGGGTTTTGCTGTCTCTCCGTGACCATTCATCAGTTCGTCCAGTTGTGATGAACACATTTGACCATGGTTTTCTATAGTTCCATAATAACATATTATTCCTTTGATACGTTTGCCCCATTGCTTATGCTTTATATGGTACTCCCTTGCTTTCATTACGTATCTGTGCTTCTAGGCGTTACATGCTAAGGTTTCTTTCTGTTCTGCTTCTGTAACCTTTGATTGACGGACTGCTCAACCAGCCTATCTTGGTGCAGGGTTTGTTGTTAAAGATAGTAAATTTTTTTTTTTTTTTAATGAAGTTAACAGTAACATTAACAAAAAGAAAAGTACAAGTGTTTGGGGGTAGCTAACCCTTACACAAAAATGGGTGCTACCCAGCCCCCCACAGGCGGGGAGTTTCCTTTACAGATAAAAACCCAAAAATTACAACCCAAAATTACCAAAGGCAACAAGAGAGAGAAAACTCGTGACAACCGAGAGTTGGCTAAGCAAAAAAGAAAGGGTTTATAACTACACCTTTTTAACAAAAAGAGAATAAAGCAAGAGAAGGGACAAAAAAGCAACGAGCTTAAGAGGGTCCCTGGTTGTCCAAAAGATCTGCTTCATCATTGGCCAAAAGATCTACGAGAGCATTGCACGTCCTGAATGTATGCATCCATGAGATGCTGATATCCCTGCATAAGCATTCTATTTCATCAAAAATGGGCAGGAGGTACCAAGGTGGTGTAGACTTTCTGGAAACCCAGGCAATAATGTTGTTTGAGTCCCCTTCAACAATCAGGTTAGATCCCCATGACAGGTCAAAGTGCTTGATCCCAATCAGAAGTGCCTTGGCTTCGGCTTGTTGGGAGTCTGTTGAGCTCAGTGGTTCAGCAAACCTGAAGAGGATTTTCCTTTGGTAGTCTCTGAAAACCCCCCCCCCCCCTCCGCCCTAGATGGCCCAGGGTTGCCCCTTAAGCACCCTTCGAAGTTCAGTTTGATGACTCCTCTTGGAGGTGGTTGCCAATTGCTTGGTTTAACTGGTTTCTTGGGCTTATGAAAAAAGAATATTCTCCCAATGGCTAAGATAGGAGTTCGAGGGTATTCTGGCAAACACTTTTGGTTGGTCGCCCAAAATATAGTCATAGTCTTGATCTTGTGAAAAAGGGCAGTCAGCAGTTGGTGATGTCCCTGGAAGATCTTGTGGTTCCTTTCATTCCATATTACCCATATGCAAGCAGCACTGGCAGCCTCCCAGAGGATTTTACCTGCTTTAGGCCAAGGCATGGCGAAGTCTGCGGACAGTAGAGAGGGCACCAATGGTGGACTAGCCCATTGAAAGCCAAATAGGCATAGAAGTCTCCGCCCTAGGTGTCTCGCCTGCTCGCAAAGAAGGAAAAAATGGGCGTTGGTCTCCTCCTCTCTTAGGCACAAAATGCACCTGTTAGGGATTGAGATACCCCTCTATTGCAATTGGTCCACAGTTAATGCTCTCTGTGAGCGAGCTATCCAGTTAAAGGTCTGAACCCTTGGGGGTGCTATGGAGGACCAAGCTTTGACAACTAGCGAGGGAAGGTTGAAAGGCCAGGTAGGAGATTGGATGAGTCTTTTGTAGAATGAGGCAATTGTGAAGCAACCAGAGGGGGATAGCGTCCACAACAAAGAGTCACTTCCACTTAAAGGACTATAGGTTTCATGGAGGGCTGCTAAAAGTTGGTTAAAAGATAGAATTTCAGCGTCAGAGAGGTTCCTCCTAAAGGATGGAGTCCACGCTCTTCGCCCTCCTATTTGGACCATTTCTTCCACTACTGTTGAGTGCGGGTGTGAAGCTAAGGAATAAAGGGAGGGATATAAATCTTTGAGGGAGGAATAGCCAAACCAAAGATCAGACCAAATTTAACTTTGGACTCTTCTCTGGCATAAACTCTAATGAAGTTCTTGAAATGGGCTAGGGATTGAGCAATGGAATTCCATACTCCTAACACAATATCTTCGTCTCATTTGCACCCAGGAGGAGTCACTGATTTTGTATTTGTGACGAATGACTTGAGCCCAGAGGGCATCTGGTTGTGGGTAGCTTTTTGGCATAGCATTATAGCTAAATTATAACTTTGATGATGATAGAGATTTCTTAATGAGTATAAATCTCTTTTTGTGATAGATCTTTCTTAAGAAAATGTAATTCTTAGTTTCATTTTGTGGGTAGCTTTTTATCTGGAAAGGTTCAAGTCAAGACGTGGTTGATTTGTTGTGTACAATATTTGAAATATCCACCAGAATTCAAGAAACTAAAAAATATTCAAATCTTGCATACCAGAGGCAACTGAGCTGAAACTAGATTCAACTTCTCCTCAGGGTTTAAAGATACATCAAAAAGATGAGGGACCGTCCTTGGTCCTAGATGTGTGGAGCTCATATCCTAAATTTCGTGTTTCAAAAACTATGAGCAAATAAATGTTTTTCTCTCTAACATTGATGTCAAGGGCCATGGTATTTGTCAGTAGTGCCAAGTAGGTGAGAATGGCACAAACAATGCTGGAAAACTACCCCTCTGCAGTCCCACTTGGGAAGAAAAAAAATTACCCAAGGAGAAACATGAGTTAAGTGTTTCCTTGGTTTGAGTTTAAAACTTGTATGCAAACAAAAACAGCCTTTGTATTTTTTGGTCCATTCCAATTGTCTAAAATTCCCTTTGAAAGAAAGCACTGAGGTATTAGGTTTCTGCAGAATTGAGCTCTCGTATTGTTTTGTGCTTCTTAGAAATGATTGAAATTCTACAACTTGTTTGCATCTTCGTCTTCTCACGTGAGCACATACTAGTCAGCTGCATGCCCTGTTCCCCCATACATGTTTTCTCTGTTTTCAAGTCCTGTCATTCCCCTCCTTGCCGCTACGACACCATGTCTATCTTGGCAGAAGAGAATATATTCACTTTTTGGATAATCACTACAAAGTAGAATTCTAAAGTGCTCAGACCGCTTTGTTCTGATTAGATTCACTTTAGAGTAGCTGTAAGTCAATAAAATTAAGAATAAGCAATGAGTCGAAGAATAAAAAAAACCTTTGATATGCTTGATCTACCCGTTGGTTGGATAATATATGTAAGTTGTAAAGTAAACTCAAGAGAATGATAGTAAGAATATTGGTCTGATTGAAGGTACCCATAAGATTAGACGCATGTTCCTGAATAAGAAGTTTGATCATGCTGCTTTCCTTATTGGATTTGTAGGTTGAAAGAAGTATCTGGATTCAAGTATATTTGCTGTACTTTTATAAGTTCTATACCAATATAGCCAAGCCAAAGTTACTCTTACTCTAGGTTTTCCCTTTATCCACCAATTTTGATTTAAATCCTTCTTTTGGTAGGTAACAAACATGGACTAAGAAGCATATCATGGATAATGGGGTCAGTTAAAACCTTTGGAATAATCACTGATTGCATTTCAATAGAAAATTAGGGTTTTACTTTCACATGTTTTCAATTCAACAGTGGACCCGAACTGAACATCAAAACCAGCTATTGATACAGTTCAGCATTCATCTCCCACATCATTAAGCTTGTAGTAATCACCTTGGGATCAGTATAATGGGTCCACTCACTGTCCTATATTTTCCAGCAAGGCTTTTATGTATTTCAAGATGTTAAAATCTTGTGTATAAAAATATATACTTTCCTGGTGTTTGTGGCAACAAGTCCAATTGTTACCATCATGGTTTTCTTAATTGTGATGCATGTACTTGGCGATATTATTCAAGGGGGACAGAGCCTAAGTTCCTTGTATCATATACATTCCGGGGATTGTGAGAATGTAAAAAGCCCAGGGAATATGTTTCTTTTGAGTAGCTACTGTGGATTATAGGTGAAGCTTTTGTTGCTTGTGTTCTTGTGGAGCTGCAAAAACTCCTAATATTTGGGGTTCACATGGAGCGGTTTGTCTATGTTGGACTTGATGTATTCTTAGTGTTTCCGAGGCAGGGGTATTTTGGGAATTCAGGCCACTACGTTCAAAATGTGGCTGTTTTGGGATGATCTGTATCAGAGTTGTGAAATGGCAGATGCACCTAAGTATTCAAGGGGGATGAGAGTACCTGGAGTCTCCCAAGGTGGCTCAATTGAAGAAAAGGAAGTGGATTCTTCTAAAGTGCTTTCGCTCGGTTGTAGAGAGAGACAGATTTCTGTAAGAAATTCTGAACTAATATCTGTGTATTTTCTGTAATATTTTCCTGTTTGCTTTTGTTGCTGAACTATTGATATGTGTAGGCAAGGGGGATCTGGCTTGTTCATGATTTCCCCCAGGTTTAATGTGTCCTTTGTAAATAATAGAGGAGTTTACCTTCTCTCCTTTTTCCTTTTTCTTTCCCTTCTATTTTTCGGTATTTATTTATATTTTGTGTGTTTGGGTGCGTAATGGTCGTCTTTGAAAGTGATCAGAGTTGAAAGGCCATTCCCTGCGAGGGTTCAGACCATCAAGTCGGAATCTTGGGTATTGAGATTTCTGTTTCTTTTAGTTAAATAGGTGGCAACTATAGATGTTGAATTTGAATTTTTTTGTCTACAAGTCATATGGGCATGTTAGGAGAGGTATTTTGGTCATTTTATTGTGTAAGAAATGTTTTTTCATTTCTTTTTTAGGTGAACACTTGTGAAGAGGATATGCCCAAATTTGATGTCCATATCAGATGTAAAGAAAATTAAAAAGAAAAAAAAGTAGTTAGACATGACGTGTGATTGGATGCTATTCCGGCCATCCATTAAGATCAAACGGCTTGAAGAAGGGTTGCACATATAAGGTTCTGCTTACACATAGAAAGGGTTTTCATTAAAGAAACATTGTTTACAATAGGAAAAAATTTATATAAGTGCGAGCCTCTAAACAATCAAATTAAGGTTCACTTCAGAAATTTCATTTGAAGAGGTTGTTTTGATGCCCAAATGTCCTCAAATCGATCATCTCGACATCAAGATGCCTGGACATGAAAAAACAATGGATTTCAAGTTTTGAAGATAGTGCATCTTGTAATGCATTTTTCGACCGTCAATTTTCAAGATTTTCAAGTTTTTATAGATCAGATCTATGCTGTTTTTGAAGCTTTAAATTTTATAATAGAGAAGAAAAATATATTTTAAAGTTATCACAAAGATTTATAGTATTGAGACTACATTTCGCAACACTATTTGAAGGTGCACTTTACTTTGATTGTTTAAAGCCTCGGCTTTATACAAACCGCATCCTTTATAGTATGTATATTTATGAAGTGTTTATGCTATGCTCCAGCAGGATGGCTTATCCCAAGCCTGGAAAAAAGAGGAGGGTTGTGTTAGAATGGCAACAAGCATAATTTTTTGCTACATTGTGTTAGGTTGGAAGAAGGCATAAATTTTTTTTTCCCATATCTAATTTGTGGATCCTGCAATGTTATATGCCCATTATAGGATGTTCTTTGGTATGGCTCTTGATATAGCAGATGATGGAATATTGTTTTTTTTTTTTTAACGTGAAATGGTATAATATGGTTCATACAACCAACCCCAATTAGTTAGAATAAGGCTAGGACCTCAAATAGTTGGATAAGGTATGGCTTGGATGATTATCATGATGCCATGCTCCCCTAAAGCAATATTCTACACCTACTCTCTTCAACTAAGGACCTTAGGAGAAGTTTCACTTCGAAATTTTGGGAACCACTAAAGAATTTGTATTATTTTGAAAAGAAAAAATTTGAATTTTGAATTTTCTAATACTTAGTTCTCACCTTTTATTTTCAAAAGAGAAAATTTGAAGTTTAAGTTTTCAAACTTGAAGATCTCACCCTCAAAAAATTGGACATTAGCTTTTGAATGCATAGAAGAGTCCAATTTGATTTTTTTGGAGAATGGTCTATAAGTTAAAGAGATTACATATCAAAAAGTTATAGTCCAAGAATTACTCTTAGATTGGTTTTTTAGGAAGGAAGTAAATAGACGGTATGCTCTAATGGGAGCATAAAATCTTTTGGCCTATTCAAACGTAGAGTTTACCCTATCTATGTCTAGTAATAGAAAACATTCCGTTCTCCTCGCCTTCCTTGCAACCATTCTTTCCCTTCTTCTTCCTTCTCTTCTTCTTCTTCTATTTATTTATTTATTTATTTTCTTCTAAGTTTAATGGTTGGGAAAGGGCTCTTTTTGGAAAAGGTTTCTATACTTTCTTACTATAAAAGATATGTACTTCCCTCATCCAGCCATCCAATTTAAATCAAGTGCGTTAGACCGTTTGATCTAGGTTCGACACCACAAAGTATTTCATTTTTAATTTTTCTACCAATTATATGAATATGAAATTTGGTATATACTATCATCTTAATTGGGTGTACCAAAAAAAATACTAAAAATATATTTTTGATAAAATAGAATGATTAAAAAGGGGTGTGGTTTCTATAAGGTTGCAACTTTAAGTAATCCAATTAAGGCGTACCTCCAAATTTTATCATGACATGTAATTTCTGTGTAAAATTTTTTTAGAATTATCTAAAAATCTATTTTTATATCTAATTATAAAATTTTAAACTCTAAAATGGTTAAAATCAAGTAGATCCATCTGAAAATCTTGAAAATGGACGGTCTAGATAATGTGTTGCAAAATGTACTATTTCTGGGACTCATCTTTTCCTTTTCATATTTATACATCTTGATCTTGAGATGATCTATTTGAGGGTTTTTTAATATTAAAACAACATTTTTCAATAGATTTTTGAGGTGCATCTGTAATTCTACATTTTAAGGTTGTAACCTTATATAAACATTTTCCATCTAATAATTTGATTTGAATAGGGAAACTAGTGTAATTTTTGAGCAAATAGGAGTAACATTTTGAGAATTAAAAGAAAAAAGAAAAAAGAAAAAAAAGAATAGACTTTGGGTCTCTGAACACTTAGATCTAATCATCCAAAAATTGGATTGTCCTTTTTTGATCTCAAGAGTTTTTCAGGCACATTATGAAGGCGTATTATTTTTCTTATTATTTTATTGAGATTAGTCCCTAGGCATAGGATTTCATGTCTACCAAAATCCTAGATGGAATTTACACCCGGGGGAGCACATACCCAGCTGGAGGATTTAATCTTTTGGCTAAAAATAAGGCGTAATATACCCTTCGGAACAGATATTGCCGATAAATCATTTGACCTATCAACATAATCAATTTAATAATATCTCCTGTCCTATCGATCATGATAAACTTAAATTATGTGTGAATCAAATTATCAGTTGACAATTTATGTGAATCAAAACTAAAACCCATGTCAAAATAAACTAGTGATTAAAAGAACGCTCGGTCGACACGAAATTGGTAGTTCGATCCAAGAATCAGTCACGAAATTGGTAGTTTGATCCAAAAATCAGTCACCCCGTTCCAGTTCTATATATATATCACGCCGATTTTAGAAAAGAGCCGACAACGATTTTTTACAATAAAGCGATGATCCCGACTGCAGATTCACAAATCTTGATTGGTTTTGGCCGATTCAATGTTTTTTCACGTGCTTTTTCATTGGTTCACTGTTTTTTTTCACAGTAAAATAGAGATTCGGAATGCCGATTCATTGATCCGGACTAGTTTTTAAGGAGCCCGATTCAGGTCACTAATCTGTTTTTTTAAATCACTAAAATAAACCATGGTCCACATGAAAAATTAACTAGAAAATATGAGTTTTAAACAAGGGCAACCTTTCAGCACGCTACTTGGTACATAAAACTTACACATGCCACTCCTCTCCCCGATATTAATAAATGGTTGGGATAGCTTAATATAACGTCATAAATGGGTCTTTATCTATATGATCTTGATTAGACAACTCAAACTATTTTATATTTATTTTTTTATAAAATTTATTAATATGAAATTTGGGTTGTGGCATAATCTTTTACAAGAACCTAAATAAACATAAAATAATATTTTTGACAAAACAAAAATTAAAGGGATATTTAGAATTTTTATTATAAATTTTTTATTATTATTTTTGATATGTCTTAAAAAAAATACACTTTAAATTTTATATCCATGTGATTTATAAAAGAGAAATGATCCTATTGGACCTTCTCCCACCTATAAGATTGAAGTTATCATATATAGGATTGAAGTTATCCTAATTCCCTCTCCCACTTGAAGTAAGAAACTAGTGCAATATCATGATTGAAGTTATCCTAATTCCTAAACGAGTCATTCAGATAGGATGATTAATACAGTCATTGTATATTCCCAAAAAAGGGTGAGGTTTGTATAGATAAAGGGTGAGGTTTGTATAGATCCGACACTCTAAACAATCAAAGCCCACCTTCAAATAGTTTTGAAAAATGTTGTTTCATTACTGAAAATCTATCGTTGTAATCGTCTTAAAATATATTTTTAATTTTAATTATAACATTTAAAGCTGTAAAAATAGCGTATATTGAGCATATCTATAAAAATCTTGAAAATTAACGGTCCAAAATGTGTTGCAAAATGCACTATTTCCAAAACTTGAAATCCATTTTTTTTTTTTCATGTTCATGCATCTTGATATGGAGATGGTCAATTTGAGGATATTTGGGCATCATAACAACCTCTTCTAGTAAAATTTTTGAGGTGGGCTCAAATTTGATTGTTTAGAGCATCGACTCTACCTAAAGTTTTTCCTTCCAAAAAAGGTTTCCCTTTGAATAAATAAAACGTTGGACAAATATGTTTAGTAGAGGAAAATTTTCCTAGAATTTAGGGCTGTCTCATCAATTTTTTTTGAAGACCACACTTTCTATGCAAATACCCCCACTTTTTTTCTCTCAATTTTTTTCCCAAAACAAACTTTTTATGGAAATACCCCAAGGAAAAAATTCATTTTTAGACTGAAATACCCTTCCAATGTACAAAAAATATTTTGGCAAAAATATTTTAGCACATTGCCGGAGCGCATCACATTGCCAGAGCGCCCAAGTGCCAGACTACCCTAAGACAACTACCAAACCGAAATTGAGTACTACCACACTGCCCCGACCCGAACATCATCACATTGCCATAGCGCCCAAGTGCCGGACCACCCTAAGACAACTACTAAACCGAAATTGAGTACTACCACACTGCCCTGACCCTGATATCATCACATTGCCATAGCGCCCAAGTGTCGGACCACCCTAAGACAACTACCAAACCGAAATTGATTACTACCACACTGCCCCGACCCTGACATCCAGTAACACATCTAAGACTGCCTTTACATGGTGCCGGAGCTGTGGTATCCAGTAATACATCTACTATCCGACTGCCTTTGCAACCGAATTGTACTTCGCGGGAGCCCTATTACTGGATGAC